GAAAAGAAAATCGATTAGATTTTTTCCTCAAGATTTCGAAAAATCAAACTCCGAAAAACGATTTGGAATTAGGTGTAAAGTGTAGATTCGCGGGTGGAGGAACGAACACCTCAATTAGGTACCGCCTCCGCGGACTACTGGTCCCAACACGATGCACAACAGTAGACGAAAGGACCAGCAGCCCGCGGAGGCGGTACCTAATTGAGGAGTTCGTTCCTATACCCTAGATTCGCTACCCTCACAACAAATTTTTGAATTCCCAACCATTTGCATGGGCATAGATGGCCAAATTCGAGTTATCTGAAATGCCCAAAATTTGACCTTCACGCAAAAATGTCTGGAAATTTTCACAATTTTGGTTGCAGAAATTCGAAAACAGCAGGTCACAATCCCTATTGTAGTTCGCCACCTTGCCAGAAGCTGTATGTATCCAGCCACCAAATTACTCTGCTGTGTACTCACTGCAAGCTGAAAACGAAAGCTAGAAATTCAAAAAAGCGATTTTTCAGAAGTCTGACCATATAAGGTTATAACTGTCATTTTTTGGTAACAGAAAATCTTGACTAATTAATATTTAAGAGTAGAGGTTTGAGGCTATTATCTCACAAAAAAATCTTAGCTGAATAGCTGTTACGTGAATTGTTATGAAACTTTGCACTTGCATGTCAAAACGAACTTATTTATTAGCCAACCTAATAGAAAGCTATAAAGGCAGGGTAAGCGTTTGATAAAACGTAACTCGAGTGTACTTCAGCCAACAATTTCCACAGATAAATCATCAAGATTTGATCAAAGGCAATGCTTGCAATACTGGAGATCATTTTAACTACCTTATGTCAAAAAAGTTATCCACATCTCGATGAGATTTGATGAAAGCGGTAAACAGGAATCTGAGATATTAGAATAATTTGATGGATCCCCCAAGCTTTTTCCCAGAATGATCAGAACCAGGGAAAAGAGAAAATCGTGCTTGTTGGAGGAAAATAATAGGGTAAACGGTAAAAAATGGGGCAGCTTGATTTTTATTACATGAGATTTTTTGTGCTCGCCAATAACAAGCAGGCTGCAACTCAAACGTCGCTTATTCTGGCAACGCGCTACCGCTCCTCTCTCATAACCGTGCGCGCGGTGTAGTGAAGAACTCTGACGGGGTTTTTTGAACAACTCTCAATCCTAGTACTGCTATACCGTAAAGTCGTAAAGCAAGTGACACACCATTCGAAAGAGCTTTTCATGCTCCTTGAAACGATTTGCTAAATGCATAAGATTTCTTTTTCATTTCAGAGAAAAGCGAAAAAATAGCTATTTCTGGCATAAGAAAAAACCAAAAAACCATGTTTTGCCCTATATTTTTCGAAAATAAATAAAATCTGAGGCAAGCTGCACATGGATGGACAGAGCGTCAAAAGTTCTATCAGATCGTAATTAGAAAACATGCGTTCACCTGCAAGGAATTGAATAACACGTGTCTTCGTTCTCGAAGCTGCTAATGGCCATATCTCCTGATTTTGGAAGTTGAGGTCACCAAGCCGTCTTGGGTTTGGTGACTGTCCCACCACCCACTCCAGCAGTGGTATTTTGGGTGGTCTCGCATGTTTCACTGCGCAGATACTGCTCAAAGTTCATAATTTGTCGAAGTGATTAACTTTGCATTTCAGCAAGTATAAAAATCATTAATTATGTTAATGACCTAATATAGGTATTATCTGAAAGAAAATAACATATTCTAACAACTATCAAAATTGGAATGTCTAATCACTTCTCTTTCTTGAGAAACCTCCAGTTATTTCGTAAGTGCCCCATTTTCTACCGTTCACCCTTATAGCAGGGTCATAATTTCTGAACTTATCACTAATTCAACGCCTCGATAGTATAGCCGAGTATATTCGTTTGTCCGCAGGGTAAGATTTTTTCGACGACACTCTAAGTGACTGGGGCAGTCAATGAGCAAGCCATCGCAACAAAGCATTGCTTTCACGATTTGAAACCATATTAAGTCAGTGCCTTTCTCAGGCCTATCCTCAAATCGTTCGTAAGATTTGCAAATGATCTAAATAGTGTTCAAAGCAAAAAGTCTTCCATTTTCTGGCAATGGTGTGTTTGTTTCACTATCTATAGATCAACTATGTCTGCTCTCATGTCTTCGGTCCCGCTTTGGCATAGAGAAGTGGATCGAGGCCGATATGTCTCTGTATGTTTTGTAGACTACAGCAAAGCCTTCGACTCCCTCTATACCACTGCTTCTTGTTGAGCTCCGAGCCTATGTCCAAGGCTGTCCAAGGCTGCTCAAATTTTTGAACTCCTTTCTCAATGGTAGACAACAACCAGTTACCATCAACACCGTTAATTCACGTGTTTACAACACCACGAGCGGTGTACCTCAAGGGTCGGTCCTTGGCCCCTTGCTGTTTCCCATCATAAATGACCTTCCTAGCGCTTCCAGTGGGCACTTTCTGTTCTATTTATGCTGATGATTCCAAAATCTGCACCATAAATAATGCCTTTCTCTTACAAGAAGCCATAAGTGCACTTGCTGCACGGTCGTCAACATTGCAGCTAAATATTTCCAAGGTGAAGACTTGTGTTATGACTTTTGGCAGAAACCATTCTATAGTCGAGTTCACGCTTGATGGGTCCATCCTACATCGTACCCGTTCGATTCGTGATTTGGGTGTTGAGTATATGACAGCTTCGACTTCCATGCGTACATTTCAGAGATTGTCTCAAAGGCTAAATGCCGATCAAATCATATCCTCAAAGCATTCAGCAGTCGAGATCCCATATTGCTTTTCAAACTTTGTATTGCTTACGTTAGACCTTTACTCGAATTCTACTCGCCTCTGTGGTCCCTTCAAGTTAGAGCACAGACTGAAACTATGGAGAAAGTCCAGAAGTCTTTTACTTATAGAATTTTCGCCAGAAAAGGCATTTTTGAACTGTCTTATCTCGGCAGAATGAAAAAATTGCATACCCCTACACTGGAAGACAGAAGGGTTCTTGCGGATTTTGCATTCATCTATAAGCTCACCACAAACGTGCCAGACTTTCTTCTTATAAGCAACTTCACTGGACGGATGCAGATGCTCTGGAATGGTCTGGACCCTCAGCTTTTGCAGTATTCTTCTGCAGCATCTTTCTGCTCTCATTTGCTTGAGTACCTTCAATCTCGGAACCCGCTGGGTATCATCTTAGATTTCTTATAACCTGTTTACTTGTTTTTTTATGAGTTGTTTATTTTATTATTCTCATTCGCTAAATCGTTGCGTTGTTTGAGTTGTCTTTCGCATCTGTCTCATGTGTTTACTGAATAAACAAATCAAATCAAATCAAATCAAATTTTTGATGGTGGCCCCAAAAATTGTCAGAAATTCAAAAGCAATGTTTCTCTCATCCAATCTACGACTACGATATGCGAGACCGCATTGCACACATTGTTTAAGCAAGCCTAATCGTGTACTAAACAGGTTTATACTTGTTACTTATCTCATCCAGGTTTATTCACTCTTGGGGACAGGGAAGAATAAACTCAAACTTGTTAAGACAATGTTCACAATGTTCAAAGAACATCAAACACGAGCAACCTGGTGTAATTCGGTGCAGCTTTTTCTCTTCTTTCTGATAGGTGTCTATTATACTTGATGCGCAAAAGCTTCGAGGACAAAATGGCGATAATTTGTTTTGAATAGTCCGAAGCCCAAATCCAAAATTCAAAATTATTTCGAGGCAAACCTTGTTTTGCATTGTAAAATCGTGCACAATCATGTACAATTTTTGGAAATTGCAGATTCTGGAGATTTATCAGCGTTTGAAACGTTTGTGTATTTTAGGACTTCCTAAAACAAAGAGTTTCGGAAAAAATCTACTGAAAAATACCCTGAAGTCAATTGAAGATGCTCAAAAAATCAAATGCATTGCACTCTTATTCTATCAACTACTATCGTAACTCTCCCAAAAGTCGAATGAAAGTTTTAAAAGCTAAAATTAGGGTAGGTTAAAAAGGGTTCGAGATTATGACAACCAACTGCGATCATTTAATCGGAACGAAAACTGTTAGAAAGTGGGAGATTTGGAGATTTTCTGCATTGAAGACTATCTAGAGTATCTGCACCATTACTCTGAACGATTTAAGGATAGTGAAAAAGGGAACGAACTTTCGGACCAACCCAATATGATATCCATACCCATACCAATTTCAACTAGCTGCAAATGATTACACTTTAGCCATGTGCGACTGTTTATTCTACACCTTTAAGGCGATACAACTGGAGAGGAACACCAAATTGAGCAAAATCAAATATATCAACACTCAACCATTTAGTGACGTAATTATACAAATTTCGAGAACTTTATCAAAGTATTGATATTTTGTCAGATCTCAGCCATTGCATAGTTAGCAAGAGAAAATAGAGTAAGGCACGCTCAAGGCTCTCAGATGACAAATGGATAATAGTATGGGCGCTATGGTGACCCATGCGCACGAATGCAATTTTAGCAAGAGACACGCTCGCGGCGTTCAGCCTGGGCGATTTTGTATACAGTCAACCATATCTGCAACAGAGTTATGTGCCCAATATGCCCAATATGCTTCCAATATGCTTAAGATTTTTCGTGTTTAAAAATCTTGGTCTCTAAATCATTGTTTCATAATTGCTTTATTGCGTAAAGCTAGTATTTTAGAAATATTCTGCATATTGTCAAAGTCTAGCATTCTCGTAGATGACACACAGACACCAAGTGGTCGACTACCTAATCAAACCTTGTATAAAAGTCTCTTCTTACGGACACCAAATTCGTGAGTGAATATTTTTTCATAGAGCGTTAAAAGTTTGTCGTGCGCCGTAGCTGTACTTACGCCGTGCCAGGCCATGCCGGAACCGCCTGTGTGCGCCCCGTATCGATCGCAGTTTTGTCACGTCATTGGAACGGCACTGGCACGGCGCGGGTCTGGCAACAAAATCGAAATATATCTCGTCAAATGTATTAGGCAGAATGTTATTCTGATGTGTCTGAAAGTAAAGTTTAGGCTCAATCTCACCAGGCCAACTGTCCATGAAGGGTCGAAGGCGATAGTGCTTGTCAACTCGGCTTTGAATGAAATAGGCATGCGAGACACGATCAGGTACACATGGGCTAATCCTGCGTTTTCAAAACTTGTAAAGGTTGTTGTGACTCTTGCTTGAGATCGACTTGATCACATGTAGTCCTTTTAGAACAGGATGGTCTCCGTGGTATTTTTAGTTGGCACAGATAATGCAAATGATTTGGTACGGAAAGAATTGGCGACAGGAGACGATATACTACAAGTGGATGTTTCCGAGTCTTATGCAAATCTTGTTTATAAGGTTCCGAACAAAATTTTTCTTATTTAGCAAGAAAGCAGAACGCTAAACAGTCGTCTTTCTGGAACCGTCAAAGGGTGTATTATAAATGTGCTAAAGGCTACTGCATGACGAAGGCGCAGAAGCAGTATTACTTGAGCTTGCGCGAACGCGACGCGCGCTATCTACAATCCGTTCAACGAGACCAGCGCCGCGTAGTGCAGTCACACATCTACACGCTAGCGTTACCGTACGCGCAGCGTGTCGGGACCGTGCTGCGCACAACATCGCGGGCCTTGTTTTTACCATTGTATCTCGTAATTTTTTATAGCAGCGGATTGCCATTTTTTTTCTGTGCTCATATGCGATCTGCCTTGATACCGAATATAATTTTTTTTCGCAGCAGGAAGGAAGTATCAAGTCTTTGAGCGTTATTCTTCTTGACATCTTTCATTCCGTTCCGACCTTCTTCGAACGGCTGATCCCGCATGTCATGATTCATTATATCGACTCGTGTTTCAGACATACTAGGTTGATGCAAAAGTTCTTTCGCACCCACTTCAAAAATTCATAACTTGTTGAATTCTCAACGAATCTGCAAGATCTAAATTTTGTATAAGAGAGAAACTCATGCTGTTTGCAAATGTACTTGAACTGTTCGTTAATGTGTACAAGTGAAGGAGATAGAAGCTCAAAGCCAAAATAACTCAAAATCTGAATTTTTCGTGTAGGGTCATAAAAAATCGGAAACTTGCAACAAAAATCGGAGCAGTCGGCGTTGTAGGTTATTTCACTAGCTCTCTCTAATGGTGCAAAGTTTGCGCCGATTGATTCTCTCTATGAAAAGTTACGATTTTGAGCAAGCAATACAAAAGGGCAAATTTGATTTATTTTGGCATTTTTCAGGAAAATCATAACTTTTCATAGAGACGCTCAATCGGCGCAAACTTTGCACTGTAAAAAGAGCTGGTGAAAGAACCTACAATACCGACTGCTCCGATTTTTGTTGCAAGTTTCCGATTTTTTATGACCTTACACGAAAAATTCAGATTTAGAGTGATTTGGGTTTTGAGCTTCTATCTCCTTCATTCGTACACATTAACGAACAATTCAAGTACATTTGCAAACAGCATGAGTTTCTCTCTTATACAAAATTTAGATCTTGCAGATTCGTTGAGAATTCAACAAGTTATGAATTTTTGAATTTTGGGAAAGAACTTTTGCATCAACTTAATATATATCTTACTATATCTCAGACAGTTGGATCGGGAAGTTCGCGGGTGCTTGCTCGGCCACCAATCATCCATGCCGCGAGTTGCCCGGTATAAACCGATATCGGACCCGATAAGTGACCGCGGCGGATCCTGTAAGCGCCCGATAGTTTAAGGAAGAGTGTAAGATCTTTTGGCCTGTCTTTCATGACAGTGACTTGAGTGCAAATTGAGCAGCTTGTTAGTTCATCTGTCGACATCATCTAGTGTCGTCGATAACATTCATCCGACTGCTGAAGCTTGTTTCGTAAGCGTAAAAACTTGACTGTCACACAGCACCACACCGGAGAAGCGATTACCCAGCTCACAAATTAGGGTAGCCCCATCGCTGCGGCGTAGCTCACGCAGGTTGCTCCTTAACCCACAGCATGTAAGAAGTGCGGCCTTTGATAAGGCCCGCGGCACACCGAGTGAGGTGATTGGGCCGCGACTCCCCCGGTAATCTCTTCCCAACGTCAACTTCGGCCGCGGCGTTTCATGTAACACGCTTTGAGGCCGCGAACTTTCCGATGCAATTGTCTGAGATTGTATATCGTCTAAGTTTGAGTGAAGAGCGCCAGTGCGCTGTTCACCCAAACTGTCCTCTCAACCTGTACGATATACGATTATACCTCACATATTCACCTCTAGATGTAAAGAAGGAAAGCATTAGCTGTTCAGAATTCTCAAATGAATTAATTTTTTACATCTTCACTAGATCTCAAACCTCCATTTTGTCTTCCATGTGATACTTTGAGAATCACAGAGAGTACCGAATTAGAGTTTCAGACAGGAAAAGCTTAGAAGTTTGGAAGTAGGACGGCGAATATAATCAAAGAAAAAAGCAGGAAGAGTGGCTAAATCAAGGACCACGCCGCTTCGCGCGGCATGCTCCGTGCACGCTGCAGCACACGGTAGCACTCGCGCGCAGGTGTGTGACTGCACTACGCGGCGCTGGCCTCGTCAAAGGCATTGTACACCGTTGTAAATCCTCGCCTCATGCGCTCTGGGGTTAATGAAGCGCGTTCGCGCTTAAAAATATCGCGCTTGTCATGCAGAAGTCTACAATTGTTTAACTATGAACGCTTCCTTTGAACATTTCTTAAAGGTTTCATAATAGCACAATATGGGGCTCCCTTCAACTGTCAATTATGGACTTGATTACCTGGATTTAGTGAGTGTTACTAAGCCACCGTAATCTTACAGTAGAAGCATGTATTGTCGCGCGATAGTTGGCCTTTTAAGGGGCCCTGCGTGGTGTCCAGGGGTATATCCTTTACTGAAGAGCGATCCTCCAGGCGATTGGCGCGTCCACGTCTCCTCGGCTTGGCACCTCGATTCAACCCAACCGCCTCCTCGTAGCAACGCCGACGACAATGATTCGAGCCAAGAGGAGCCGCCTTATATAGCAGCCCGAGAAGTAGTGCACGCCCCCGATCGTCCCGTGGCCCCGACCGAAACAGCCAAGACAGCAAAACCATTAAAACACCATAAAGACACCTACAAATCGACTAAGAAGGACTAGATAGGCACAATAGACAAGAATAGAAGTATCAAAGAACCCCTGCGAATTTACATGCCCGTCCGACAAGAAGAGTTGTCCCGACTCTTATAACATTTCTTTCATCAGCGTGGGAGACGTCATTCACGTTCACGGCTCGGTCGACGGCTTGTACGAGGGGCTAGCGGGTTCCACGTCCACGACTTGGTCGGCTCCTTGTGCAATATGGGGAATGGCGTGGGGGATAACACGTTCCACGCCCATCATTCAGTCGGCTCGACAAGGCGTCTATGGTCCTTGGTCTCGGGCTATCGCGGTCCTTTGCCTCTGCTTTAGAGTAGTCAGATCTGCGATTGGTGAAAACTTAGGTAGTGATTCGACATCTCCGTCTGTACTTGCGTCACACACCCTTGTATGAGGTTGTCTTCGCATTTGTCTGCGCTCGCGATTGCAAATGCATTTGGCAGGGCCATGACGACAGCCTGTGCCTAGCCTCTCATAGAGCTTTCATCTGATCGAAAGTGACGTGATCCCAATGGAGCGCTTCGATCTTTTGTCAGCTCGGCCTTCGGTACATTGCTAGGGGAACTTGTACCTTCCTTGCATTTGCCTTCGACTTGAGACACACGTCTTCGACGTCTTCTAGTCCAGCGCCAGATGTCTCTTCTCATCGTCTCCCAGAAGAAGCTCTTTGACAGTTTCCTAACAAGCCCCTTGCGCCTAGATCCCCCGCATTCCCTTGCGCTTACTTGACGAGCTTCTTTCTCTGAGACGGCGGTAAAATCTCTTTGGATCTTCCCTCGCCTACAAATAGCAAACGGCCTTGGTGCAGAGCAAATTCAGACACATCGTACTCGTGTGACACCTTCTTGAACTTCACTCGCCCGTCTAGCTTGTCCTTTTCAAGACAATCTATCAGATCACGGAAGACGGAGTCTTTGCGAAATTCTTGCATCCAATGCGCAGCATCAGCCTCAGTTGGCTTTGCTTCCTCTTCTCCCAAACTGCTGTTGCCTTCCGTATTGACAACTACACCGCAGGGCTGAGCAGTTTTCTCGACGCGCCTTTTCCACGAACAGACCACATCTCGGTCCTTGGTTGAACATGCACTCTCTTCGAAATTATAACTGACTATTGCCTTCGTCTATTCCGTCTCGGAGTACTGCGCGGGACAAGCCCCTGGGCAGCTGTCTTCTTTGCGTTAACGAGAGTGCGTCTAACGCCTGTACCGCACAGTCCAAGTTTCGGTAGCGCGTTCATTCCAGCACTATTCTGCCGCCTCCTGCTATTACAAAAAGGGCAATTCTGTGCTTAGCGCCATCCTCAAGTGTAAGTCTAACTGCTCCCTTGAACTTCATCCGCTTGTTTGAGGGGTCATAAACTGGGTCTACCTTGCCCATCCTCGAGTTTTAAGCTCCATATAGACCTTCATCTGGTTTGCGGGGTCGTGGACAGTGAACTGGCTCCGTATTGCCTCGATGATGCCCTCTAGTGTGCCTTCCCTGATCCTCTTCTTAAATGCCCCCTAATTTCGTAAGAAACAGGTGCACCAGCATATTCTTCTGCAACCTCAAGCCGCTGTATTTCATCCTGAATCTCATCGCAAACTCCTCCCATCCTTTCCTCTGAGGGTCTGTGAAAGTTTCTACGTCTGGGAGGGCGATCGCGGCGAACATTTGTGCCATGGGATGGTTATCGGGGTCTCTACTCCTACACTGCGGCCGGATGCTGCATGCTGAAGGGCTTGACGCTGCTTTGCCCAGAGATTGACAGTATTTCGACTGCGCCAACTTCCCTACGAGGAGTTTTTCACTGTTTATATCCTGGATATTCTCAGTCATTACCAGGGTTGAGCAAGAGGTCAGACACAAGTCCTTCAAAAACGACCCCCCCCCCTGTGAAAGCCCCTAAAATGACCCCTCCGCTTCACCTCCACAACCTTAGACTGTGATACTTTGAAGAAGACCAGCCTTTACTGAAGGGTTCTTGTTTTTAGCCGTAGGCCCAACTTTCTGCGACTGCACAACCACACGCAACTTGACGGCAAGTTTTGAACTTGAATAGCCCTCTTTTCAGAGCTATAGTTTCTGCGCGGGTGGAGTGTTTGGCTTCAAATTTTCAATATAGCAAGAAGAGGCTTTGCGCTCAATACTCATACTAGAAAAGGAGCGATTTTTGAATACTGAAGGTTAAGGGGGTCAGGCGCAACCCCTCAAAAGCTCAGGCGGCCTGACCTTTTAAGGATTTGCGCCTGATCCCATTAACTTTATTTTCGAGGAAGCTTTTCTATCCAAGTTTTATGTGATTCGCTAGTACAACCCTCGAAGTTTCGACAATAAGTGTTTGAGCTTGTTTCGACTTGTTTCGGCCTTGTAGTTCCGTAGAGTTAAGGCACTTAATGTGAAGAACGGGCCTGTTGGAAATTTGGTAGCACTTCTTACTTCACTATTTGAAAGCGATATGAAGCCTGATTTCTAGCATAGACTTATAGGGAACGTTACTTTGTTATGAGTATAGAAAAGCTAACTATTTCCACTTTTGAAGCCAAGTTAATCATGTTTGAAAATCACGCTTTCTAGACGTTGGAAAACACTAGAAAATGATTTTAGAGCTTATGGAGGTTATCTGGCATGCTGATTACGGAAATAATACCCATTTTACACAGCAGGCTTACTTGGCGACCTCATGATATGTGAAGGTAAAAGATGAAGACTTGAATTTGGCTGAAGTTTCGATTGTGGAAACAATCAATATGCTGTTTACGACAGCCGTTCCTTCATGTTATCCCGACATCCACCGGACTAGCGCATTTCTTCTTCACCTTCGTAGTATCTCCCCAACTAAACGAATTCGGTTCTTAATTACGACCCCTCCCCCTCAGTCATACGCCCAAGACGACCCCCCAGGTCGGGCGCGCCTGACCTCACGCTCAACCCTGGTCATTACGGCTATCTGGAATAGGGCTCTGTGCTTTGCCACACGACGCAAACGCAATTCTAGAGAGTTACAAATCTTAGCTATGTATCACACCAACGGTACACGCACTTTGCTCCGTCTCTCTGAACGGGCCCTTGCAATGTAAGTGATGCGCTCGCTTCTCCGTATACTTCCCTGACACAGAAGGTGCAGTATCCGGTACACGCGCGTAGCTCCTTCCCCTAGGTTGAAGCTGGCGGTGTGAACTGCGACGCTTCTGCTATTCCACAAACGAAAAAGGCTCAATGTGCTGAACATCGAGTCCTTCGCAAGGAAAATAACTTTGCCTTTCTCTAGGGCAGCACACTCGCCTTGACCGTTTCCTCGGTCTTCCCGGTAGAGGAGTCTTTCTTTCGGTTCGGCCTCTATGTCGCGCGATAGTTGGCCTACGTTAGGCGCTTCCGCGGGGGCTCGGCGCGGTGTCCAGGGATATGATAATCTTTTATTGAAGGACGATCCTCCAGGCGATCGGGGCGTCCACGTCTCCTCGGCTTGGCTCCTCGATTGAGATCCGACCGCACTCCTCGTAGCACCGACGTAGAGCCTCATTTGAGCCAAGGGGAGCTGCCTTATATAGCAGCCCGGGGAGGAGTGCACCCCCGATCGCGTGGCCCCGACACGAAACAACCAAGACATAGCAAAACCATTAAAACACTATACAGACACCTACAAATCGATTAAGAAGGAGAATAGGTAGACACAATAGACAACAATAGATGTATCAAAGAAGCCCTACGACTTTACAGTATTGGTTTGTTGCATGGTCTACATATGGTACCGTGAGCGATTTGGAAAAAGTTGTGGCAGAATTCACTATCGAACTCGCCAAACTTGTCCAACATCTTGTATTTTGACTTGTTTATCACCAGCCAGCAATAGCGGTAACATAGTCACTGGGAAGCTTTTGCCGCTAATAGTCTGCACTCATACTTTTCTCGCTCATTTTTCCCATTTGCTCAAAGATCAGCTAACACGTTTTCAAGCTCCTACAATCCTGATAGAAATATAGTGAGAGCCAATTATACGCATTAGGCGAATTAGCACAGTACAAGCACCAATATGTATGAGGCATTTGAAAAATCGTGGCGATGGCGCGACCGCGTGACACGCACGTCACTTCCGGAAATCGCATTTTCCTGGTTTTCATCTCTAGTCGAATGGTTTTTTTTGCTTGCGCATGATAATATTTGGACACTGAAAATGACTGAATGAATGAACGTTGAGGTGGTGCCTTTTTGTATGAGCGATTTATGCCCCTGTGGGGGCAAATTCCGCAGTAAAATCCGTCTTCACGATTTTATAATTTAACTATACATCGTTCGCAAAGCAGTTCCTGCGCGAATGGCCATGATCTTTCCAAACAATAGGCTTGCTACTTTCTGTTTCATTCATAAAATTCATAGATGCTTGCTCAACCAGCAACATATTTTTAGCACGGTGTTCTTGAGTTGTTCAGCGTCTTTGATGACATTTTGTATGTTTTAAGAGAAATCATAGCATAACCTGCTCTCATAATATTTTCATTGCGTTACGAGTCTTTAGAAGCTGACCTATTTTGCTGCTTATTCAACTACTTCACATAGCGCATGCTTTACCTTTGGGTAGTAACTTGCAAAACATTTTGAGAGAACATTTCAATAGCGACATTTACCAGTTGTTCCGGATAATTCAGCATTCCAACGCTGGAATCTATTTCTATTAACACTTGCATCCTTATATGGAAGTAGTGAATGGTACCTAATGCGTAGTTTCTATCTTGTCTTATATATAAAGCTGAATGTCTGTTTGTATGTCTGTCTGTCTGTCTGCATGTATGTATGTCTGTGTGCACGTATGTTCCGAATAGAAAATTCCATTTCTGAACCGATCCGGACCAAACTTGGCACACATACACTCGGGGCCCGGCGGGTGTCATAGGCTACTTTTCGTATGGATCGATATCGATTTTATCGATTTTTATCGATTTTTTTGCAGAGTTCACCTACGGGGCTGGGAGATGGCACAGGGGGGTAATCGAGCATGAGGATTCCGAATACAATATCATTTTCAGAATTATCGATTACTTTTATCGATTTTATCGATTTTTTTGCAAAGTTTGAGCTACGGGGCTGGGAGTTGGCACAGGGGGGTAAGTGGGCATGCTGATTTCGAAAACAACACAGGGAGCGGGAAATGAAGTGTAGAAGTGGGCACAGGGAAAGGCTTTACAGGGATAGGGATGGGAACTTTATTACAGTGTTTTGACAGGGCCGAGCGGAGCCGGGTAAGCAAACTAGTAATACATAATGTGTTGTAATTTTCAGGTACTTGCAGCTTACCTGTGGATCCATGATAATTATCCAGAAAAATTCGTGCTCAAGATTGATTCAGACACAGTTATCTTGATGGATAAGGTGAGTTTGCCTAATTTTGTTGTCTGATCATAAGCTTTTCTTCGTTGCAGATTGAACCTCTTCTCGTGAATTCTACTACCAAGAGCATGCAGTGCTATGCCATCATCAAGTCTAAACCACTACGATGTGTTACCGATCGGTGGTAAGAATTGATTTAAAGGTATTTTCCATATTCTTATCTTATTTTGAAGGTACGTCCCACAATCTGTGTATCCAGCGCAGTACTTCCCAGCTTACTGTAACGGTCCCGCATATTTGCTGAGTCCTGCTGCTCTGAATGCTATTCTTCAAGCTGCTCCGAAGGAGCAGGTAGGAATATTTGAAGTGATAGATTTTATAGTTATGGCCGTAAAAATTGGCCGATATGGCAGGGGGGGGGGGGGGGGGGGGGAGAAACAGCGATATCTTCTTGTAGAACAATGCTAATACACTAACGCAAAATCGATAAATTCTCTGGAAATCCAAGTTCTTTGGTCTTCATAAAACCGGGCATAGCAAATGCACCCATCAATTTTTTTTAAATATGAATTGTTTCTTGCTGTCTTTGCTGTTTCCCTCCCTTTCATTATATTTAGTTTTTCCATGAATTTGCAATCCAGTTTCTATCGCGGGACATTTTTGTAAGAGCGGTAGTGGTCTTGGAATTTTTCATCAATTAGGTAGATGAGATATAAAATACCTGTACTGTCGGATTTTTACGATTATTCTTTCCAAATTTTTTATGGTTTTTATTTCAACTGACATTAGAGCTTTATTTTTTCTAGAAAGTTGCTGGTGGAGAAATTTCGAAAATTGTATGCATCCTTTCCCTAGTGTATCAATCAATTCTGAAAACTTCACTAACCATTTTCTCTACTCCAAAGTTATCCTTCACATTACAATTCATGTGTAGAAGTTTTAGGTGTTCGAAATTGAAGATGCATTTTTTACGGGTGTGCTTGGCGGCAAAGTGGGTGTGAAGATAGTAGGACACAGAGGAATTTGGTTAGGAGAGGTAGGACTGACTGAGACTCCAAATTCGAAAATTTTGATTCTTTTCAGAAAAATTCTCAACCATGTGTAGATAATCGTGGAACAGTGATTGCTTATCCTGTACATAATGCCAATGCCAAGCGAATAGCTCGAGCTTGGAGTCATATTCAAAATCTCCGATGTCGATGGATCTTTGAACATTTCCTGCTTACGTACTTCCATGGTGATTGAGTTTTCCTCTAGATATATGAAAGTTGAGTTTCTCAATATACTTTGGTGGAAACGGGTAATTGTCAGACTGAGATATCTATGTGCATTTCTGGTTGGGTTTAAATGTGAAACTATCATCTCGAGTTCTGTAATTTTGTACAGAATTGCCCAAAATTTGTAGATTTTCAGCCTTTCTCATTTTTTTCATCTCCATCCTTATCCATCCGAATCTTTCATAAGAAGACTCTCATGAATTTCTACTTTTTGTTTTCTTTGGTTTGAAGAGCGTTGCATACTTTATTGCCAAACTCTGTTGTAACGAAAAATGTAAGTTATTTATCTTTATTTTTGACAAGATTTCTCCAGCTATGTAATCAACGCGATAATTATTACTTTTTTCTGGCCATTACATTCCTGCCAATCTTGCTACTTAACTGCCACTGTCTAATTTTGATAAATTTCTATTGAATTTGAAGTTTTATTTTTACCCTGAACAACTGCTTGAACATTCTATGAAATTTTCATGAATTTTTCTGTAGAAATCCATGTTTTGGCATGTATCTAGACAGTATCGAAAAAATTTGAAATTACTGAAGAGGAGTTACTGTAGTCACATTAGAATTAGTTTATTGTTAGTCTAGTAGATTTGTCTGCTTTCAAAGAGGTCTCCTGCAACGCCAACGACACTTGCGCGTAAAAAACTGTTTTTGCACCGAATTTCAAAATTCCAACCCATGCCGATTTTCTCGAGCAAATGTTATCGGCACCGTAAAAGCGCTGTAATATCGATGAAATCAACTGAGAGCCTCAGCATGCATGACATAAATATTACTGGAAGCTCTCTGGGAAATGATATTAGTTTTTTTTTTCAGCATATTTAACAAAATTATTTTTTACGCTTGTTTTCACAGCCCTCAACGAGACCATGTTGTGCGCGAACTCTAATCTTCACTAATGCGGAAGAGCGCGTTTTTAATGACCTGGCAATTACGATAATCCCAGGTGGACGGCCGCTTTTACCTCTTTGAGAACACGACACCACCTGTCACATATTGATAACTGACTGACCGACTGCCCCTGGTTGACTGCATGCTTACAGCTGCGCTGAGGTCATCTGACTTTAGTCACCTCTGATTTGTTGAACGCAAATGTAACTCGAAGAACTTTTAGAGGCGAACATATTTTGTAGGCATCTGACAGCTATAATTGCGTCGCCAATATTTGCGATTGGGAAGTAGCCATCCAAAAATGTGCGCTCCATCCCATTTTTACGCGAAAACATTGTCGCGCCCATATTGGCATATGATGGCCAATCTGGAAGATAGTGAATTGTGTTCTCTAACTCACCGAAATTGCATCGGAAGTAAGCTCCGTTTAATCTGCTATACTGCCATAGCTGAGGATGATTTTTCCAGCAAAGTGGTTAAAAAATGATAGGGTCCCGATTTGTGCATCGCTGTGATAATCCGATATAAGATATTATCACCGATTTTATTCAATCATGCCCTGATGAAATGTTCATTCAAAAAGATTGTCTTTAAAAATGCTACAAAGTATGATCGCTGATTTCTCGAAGAATAAATTGTACTGCGAAAACAATTCGTAGCCTACGCTGGTCCATGTTGATTTCTTGGATATATGACTGCATTCACACTACACAACAGACCCAAAATTTCTGATTTACTACGGTTTTCTCGAAGTGTGATCAGCCAAGCAGCTAGGCGATAATCGTTTGCGATCACTACTAATCCACACTGTGCAAACAACACCCATCGTGCACGACCCCAATTAACAGCTTACTGTAATCCGATGACAAATACGCAAGCACACAGCTGATCTGCGAGTGACTTCCGGAGCATCCATTTCTAGCTCGAGTTTGTGCTTCGGGCAGGCTGCTAGTGCTCCACACGGCTGCGCTTTGTTTTCACAATGGCCATTTTCCGGCCACTAATCGTCGCTAAACACGAGAATCAGCCGAGAGACACAATGTCTGTCCATCAACTAGCGCAGCTCTTTATGGCTACGGTAGCGGGGCAGGAGCAATGATTTGAATTATGTTGAGTCAGATAAAGAACTAGGGACCCGCGAAATTGAAGAAGGGCTCTGCTTTATTGCGCGGGGCTTCTCCTTTATGAAATTCGTAATGTCTGTTTCCGCGGAGTTTTTCAGTTTCTTTGCAGACATTTTGATAGTGAACTAATCCTGCGGACTGTCTGACAAATCACTTGACAACTTTGACTATCTTTGAAATGATTCTGTAATTTGAGCTGTATAGAAAAACCATTTTCGGGTATTATTCTGTACAAATATATACTTATAAGGAGATGTTGAGGGGAGGGGGGAGGAGTTGCTACTGTCACGCCTCTTTTTCAAAATTCGAGCGTTATGAGCACGCGAGCACGCAAGAAGTTCGAAATCATATCATAAATTTTCCGGAGGGCATAATTATCGTCACGTCCATTCAATCGCATGAATATGACTGCTGCTCCCCTCTCCCCTCTCCCCCCCCCCCTCCCACACGCCCCTTCGAAAAATATTTTTGGACGGTGCTAATCACAGCCCGTGCGCAATTATTAGGTTGTTGCAAAAATAATGTCCGTTTTGTAAATTTTCACTTTGGAGGGCTACAACTTTCTTCATTTTTCATATTTTTGAATGCAGTCAAGACCATCAGAAATAGCAAACCATTCGTAATTTAGCTCGTGCCTGCTCATACTGATATCGCAGTTGGGAAGAAAACCACGCGTCAAAAACCTAAAAGTTTTTCTCTCAAAAACCTCTTCTTCAAGAGCTTACAACTCCCTTCAAGTTTTGTTCGTATGGCTGGCAATCAGCTTATTTTGTAGCAGCAGGCCAAGATTTTATGAGAGTATAGAAAAGACTCCGACGAAAGAGTTCTGCGAAAAGAAAAAACAAAAATTCAAAAAAGTTCACTTTTTAAAGCCTACCTGTTGTAGGCTTGTAAGTGTCAAATTGTAAAAATTTGAAGTTCTTCGCGCACTGAATAGTTGAGTTTCTCTTCAAATACTGTAGTTGAGGTGCGCTAATCTTAAGCTTACAGAAATGGGCGAAACTTTGGCGATTGCTTTAATTATGAGAAATCTCTGACCCACAGAATGTCAGCAGCGAGTATCTATATGGAGGCGTCAATTTCTCCGTCCAGATATCTCCAAAAATCTACCTAAGCATGCAATAGTTAAACAATCTTCATCTAATACAATTACTATGTTTTCAAAAGAATTCGTTAATTTGCGCCTGAATTGTGGCTACGGAAACTCAAGCATCGAAATTTCGATTTTGAGTGCAGTTAGGCGAGATGCTGGTGAAATTCTCACAGATGAGGATAGCAGCCTATTTTCACCATCCTTAGAAAGTACATGAAAAAAGCTTTCCAATAATATGCAAACTCTATATCGAAAAAGAAAGTTTGATGGAAAAAAGTTGTTTGAAATGTAGGCCTAGAAAAACGGACATTATTTTTGCAACAACCTAATATATAAAGAATATAGGTAAATTTCACCTAACCCCAAGTCGTCAATGAGATTACATTACGCGCAAAATAGGATAATGATAATTACGGTGGCGATACGGTATGCGCGAGCAGATTACGCAATCGAACCTGCACATCGATCATGTTTGGCGAGGGCGCACAAAGGCATGAAAGTGAGCCGATCGTAATGTGCACGCGAGAGTCCATTACATACACGATCGTTGTCGGGATTTGACTCATTGACTCTGGATGGCCTTTGTTATGACATCAGCTTGATCGAATATTCATCGCAGTTCGTTTGTCGGTAGACCCTTTTTGCGTGCTAATGGCCAGTACTGGAATTTTACTGTATTACTGTAGCTAAGCAAGAGGGCTTGGTCAGAGGTTGTATTTTGTTCCATAGCTTCTGAGGGGGTCTAATTTAGTTGTATTGCAATATAAGACCGCTTCCACTTCATTTTGCTTCCGCTTCTGAAAAAACCTAGTCTTTTGAGAACGATTTATTCGGTTTTTTTAATGATAGCTAGAAGTGAAATAAGGTGGCTACATTAGTTTTTTATTGGGAAAATGATTTGATGATCAGTGGAAAATATTTATCTTTTTCTTAAAGCATCAGATAAATCAGAAAAGCTCAAAGCTTCTCTCATGCGTAATCGGCAGATAGTTCCAGCTTTATCGAAGGAGAGTATGATTGTATGTTTTTTTAACAACTTTTTTCTTATCTCTTTCCAATTATCAAAGCTATCGGTGCCTATAAAACGCAAGTTTCCATTTTTTGTCATGAAAATGTGAAATGCAAGCACGAAGCTTTTTACAAAAGATTGAAAATATTGAGCACACAGTGCACTTGCACTACTGTCTTTGGATCTGAAATAGTTTAAAATTTGATTTGCATGGATCAATGACAGATCTTTATGCTTTTGTTATTGGAAAATAAGTACATTTCCGGATGTTGGTGATAGCTAACAAAAATGGGAAATATCTTGATTTGAGACGCTAACTTTGATAAAACAGCACCGAGTGGAAGCGGATAAGGTAAGGTGTTTCGAAAAGTGATTGTAGAAGATGTAGGGAAAAGTAGAAAAATCCTGAAAAGAAAAAGGCAGGTAAAGGAAGCCCGCCTGTTAATAAGTATTCCGAATTTTTGGTTACTGGTACCTGCTGAACTCTGGCTCAAAGTCGTCTTTATTTGATCATTTTATTGGTTTTGTATTTACGGTTTTCAGAATGCAGTCTCAAAAATGACTTCTTAAGTTCATGATTGAATTTTGGAAAACCTCATATGCCCTCAAAAGAATTAATTCATAGATCCTGCCCTATAAATTTTAAGAAATGGTTGAAAGTGGAAATTCAAATTGATTCCAGCGATTGCTTAGCAACTCCAAAAAAAATTCTGGTGATTCAAATTGTTGGCTCAATCATATTTGAATGTGCGAAAATAAAATTCGCTTAAAAAATTGGGATCGAGAAAATTTACTGCAAAAAAAACAATGATAAAGGAATGGCAGTACTAAAGACTACTCGGAAAAAA